TTTTTTTTTTTTTGGCAGAACAGTGCTCCATCTTCCCTAGTGTAGGTTTCAAAAACCTTTTTATTAGTAATCCAATAAAAAGCTGGTTTCCAAACACTTCTTAACCCTGCTTAATATCTGTTGAAATTTGCCTGATCCACAGAGGGGTGAATCAATGTAGAACTTGCAATCCAGTTTCAGTAATTAACTACTGATTGAAAGATCAGCAACATTGTACATGTACCAGGTGAGAAAGGGTATAAAGTTGTGTCTGAAGTAGGGAAGCAAGTGAGGAAATAATAATTGGGAATATAGACTGATGTATTTAAAGCATCTACAACTTTTATTGATTATAGCTCCTGTAACTCTGTCATAAAGTGAGCAGGGAAGTGAGATACTCCTAGTGGTGAGAAGTGACCTGGGCAATGTGCAGGGTGAAATGGGAAAGAAGCATATCTTAGAGCATTGTGTTGTGTGAGTCATTCACATTATCGTTATCCATCAGCATGCACTTGCAGCTGGTTTGCCAGGCCTTGGATCACATGCATTGATTAATGCTGTGCTTACAGGTGCTTTTACACCATCAAATATATGAACATTGTCTAAAGCCATCTGGAGATGTTAGGTTGCAGTATTAAATAGCTACCAGCTCAAAAGGGGACAAATCAACAGAGGCTTCAGCATGTTGTTGGGTGAGCTTTGAGATGCAAATCCCTGTTGTAGATACTTCAGTTGTTGACTAAACAGGATACTAGCTGCGTCTTACCCTTTGACTTGGAGTTATGAGACTGAAGAACCTTGCATATTGGAAGGAACTGAAGACTTTTGCACCCTGATGAATTTGGTACAGTGGAAGATAGATTTCGTGGCTGTGAAATTTATATGGTATCTGAAACCACTCTCCCTAATATATTCCCAGGGAATGGTCCAAAAAGAATTTGCTCAAGGTCGAAAGACCTGATTTGGTATGATCTGCTTTCAGTTTTGAGCCCAAATCATTGCACCGTTAGCTGACATCCAAAACCACTGTGTTTCTTCTCTAATTCAGTCCAAGGGTTACTGGTGGCCTGGTATCTGCAAGTTCATACTAGAACAGAGGATCTTGCATTATGCTCTAACATCTCATTTGAAGCATGATATTTCTTTCAGTACAAAACACATTTAGGATTCTGTATGTGTTTGTGAATGTGTGTGAGAACTAGATACATGTGCTCTCTCTCTCTCTCTCTCTCTCTATGTATGCATGTAGGTCCTGTGACAATTTTCTGTAAAAGTGTGACCATATCTCTGGTGTAGTATAAAAATAAAAATTTTATTTTTTGGGCTGCTCCTCAAAGACAAAATAGGGCCAATCTGGTAATATAAAGGTACAATAGTACTCCTGTGTCTGTGGAATCAGTACAGTACTGTGATTTCATTTATCTTCTGCCTGAAAATATTAAATTAAAAACCCAGAAATCCATTTTTCCAAGGGGTGTTAACAGAACTGGCCATTAGAGGGAACCAGAAACTATTCTCTCTCTCTCTCTCGCGCACACACACACACACATATATATATATATGAATGAGCAATGAGTGTTTTATATCTCTTAATATTTTCTGCTCACTCTGGACTCCCAGGATATTCTCTTGTTTCTTCATGCAAGACTGGATTGCTTTTAGTGTTCCTATATGTTTGCATCCACCTGCCTATTCATCTATCCATTTGTTCACTTTTGTTTCTGCTGCTTGTAACTGTGAATAGACTGTTCTTCAGGGTTGGAGAACTGTGATATAACTCTTCTAGGGAAGAGATAGCTTTATTCCTCCGGTTGCTAGGGTAATGAAGATATCAAACATTGGGTAATACTGAACATGCCCCTTTCATTTTTTTTCCTCTTGTAGGCTGCACTCAATTTTTCTAAATATTGTGAGCCTGTTGTCCAAGGAGAGGGTAAGTGTTTTACATCTGTATGAACAAGCAGTGAATCCCATTCTTCTGTAGAACACAGAATGCCTATTATTGTCTGAGTAACTAAACAGTTCATTGGTGTAGCTTGTTGCAGAAGTAACATTCCCTGTTGGGTTGAACTGTGGCTAGGCAACCAGAAGCGTCCTTTAGATTAGTAAATTCTTTTCTGTCTCTAAATAGAACATTAGAACATTATTCAAGTCCTGTATAAAGTGCTTCTTGAGGTGATGTAGGAGCTTTGCCATGCTGTTTTTTCAGGCTAAATATCATTGTACTGTAGGTGGTAGTGGCAAAATGCAGAGAAGAGTAGTTTTCAATATTTCAGTCACATGCTCCTGGAAAAGCTGTTACCTTTCTCTCAGACGCATTCCTGTCCCCCCCCCCCCAAATCTTTTAGATTTGGAGATCAGTGTGGTTAATTCTCCCAAAGCATAGTTCACGGCTGTAGTTAATGAGGTTTGCAGTAAGTGATTTGGGCTTTCGTCCTGCTTTTCTTTTCATGTTGATCACAAACAGGCACCACACTGTCCAGTTAGCTGTCCCATGGTTAAGATAAGTCATATGCTTTTGCCAGTAATCACTGCCCAATAGGTAGCTCCAGAAGTGGAAGTGAGAGTGTATAGAATCCTGACACATGCTGTCAAGTCAATTACCTGGCTGCAGAGCCAAAGGTTGTGAGTTCAATTACCCATTGTGTCTCCTTGACAGGGGCTGGGCTTGATAATCCATTGGGTCCCTTTCAGCTCTGCAATTCTAAGACTTACAGTGACCCTTTTCTGGGTAGAGAATACTCAGAAGCAGTTTACCATTCCCTTCTTTTAACCTCTATATAGTCTAACAATATCTATTTTATCTGCCAAGCATTTTCCAAAGTTCATGTTGAATTAGTATCTCTTTTGTGCACGTGTATTGTGTAGCTAATGAACGTGATACACGTCAACTTTGGAAAAACATTGAATCACATTTGAAGAAGGCTATGCAGACTGTCTATCTACGAGAAATATCAAGGTAACTTTTACCTTTATTTTTTTTAAGCTGCTCAGTAAACACAGTGAATTGTATTCATTCTTGCCGTAAAGAATGTCCTGGCTCTTCAAAATTAGTAATAATAGTTTTCAGCAGCTAATCAATAAAAAAAGTGCAGGATGTGTCTGTCTCTAAACAGGGTGTTATTCTGGTGATACCTTGATTCTTGTGGTGACATAGGGGCAATCCTGTACTGCTTTTCAAATTAAATGGATAGGCCAAGGAGATTTTTCCTGACTTCACTCACACAGCCCTCTCAAAGTTGCTGACTGTTTGCACCCTGTGGGAAGATACAGTTACCCAGCCATATGGTAGCTATATGCTTTCCTTGGTTGTGGGGGGAAATCACATGACTGCAATCCTATTCAGGCTTCACCACAATTTCTTTTTAATTTTGGGAAAAAATATAGAAGACCCTGTTTATGGTTTTCCTGTGTTTATCTCTAATTTATATCCAATAATTAGGCTACCCAGTCAAAAAGATGTTTTGTAGTATTTTAAAGATACATTGGTAGATGAAAAGTAAAACTACAGAGAAGTAAAAGAAAAGTCTCTGAAGATGAACATAAATGTATATTGCATTTGTACAATAAATACGTTTTTATGTAATCTAAATCAGGTAACTTTTCCTGAACTGGATCGTGCCATGTTTTAGCATATCTGATTGCTCCCTCATGAAAAAAGAAATTTCGTGTACACAGATAAATAGCATGGGGAGGACAGGTTGAATGCCAAATGTCTTTTTGTTTGTTTGTTAAATATCTCTGCTTTATAGGTACTAGGTTGGAACTAATGTAAAGGTTCCCCTTGACAGTTGTTGAGTCGTGTCCAACTCTAGGGGACAGTGCTCATCCCCGTTTCCAAGCCATTGGGGCCAGCGTTTGTCCGTAGACAGTTTCCATGGTCACGTGGCCAGCGTGACTAGACACGAAACTACAGTAGACCCATTGAATCAGTGGGGACCTGATGAATCAGGATCTCTGTAAATTCCATTGATTCAGTGATATTAATCTAGTTGTGATTTACAGTGGTGCCTCGCTTGATAATGTTAATTTGTTCCAGCGAAATTGCTGTAGAGCGGAAACATCGTCAAACAAAATGAAAAAATCCCATTGAAACACATTGAAAACCCGTTCAATGCGTTCCAATGGGCTGAAAAACTCACTGTCCAGCGAAGATCCTCCATACAGCGGCCATTTTCAGTGCCTGTAAAGCGAGGAATCCATCCTAGAAAACAGCGGGGGGGGGGCATTTTGAAAGCCGGCGGCCATTTTGAAACCCGACGATCAGCTGTTTGCTGATCATCGTAAAGTGAAAAATCGGTTCCCGAAGCAGAGAACCGATCATTGCTAAGCGAAATTCCCCCATTTAAACCATCCTTTTGCGATCGCAAAAACATCAACGTAATGTGGATTCGTCGTAGAGCGGGGTAATCGTCCAGCAGGGCACGACTCTACTGCTGGATTCAGTGTAACCATGACTGTGCTATTTATACATACATTTTCATTGATAAGGTATCTATATTTTGATATTTTTAAATTCTACAAGTTATCGAGGCTTTAAAGAGCCTTAGAATTATATTATACAATGCTTCTAGCTTTTTATTCTGGGGATAAACTTAATCTTGTCACAGTTTTTCTATGAGCAACTGATTGTGGCTGATAATTGTGTTTTACCTAGACTTAGCCTTTATGCATTTTAAATTTAGCTAACGGCTGCCATATATACATTTACAGGGAGGTATCCATATTAGTCTGTTGTCTGCATTACTTATAAATGGTTGCCTCTATTTTAGCTCCCAGTGGGAACGATTACAGCAGGATAATGGAGAACCTGGGCAGCTTAAAGGTATGTGTAGTGGCTGTGGTTCTAAAGTGTTAATTATTGATGGTTTTTTTTAAAAAAAACCTTGTAACTTAAAGTAGCTCAGTTGTTGCTTAGTAAGCATTTGCAAGTATGCCAGCAACTTAATGAAACTGAATAGGCAGTACATTATTCTAGTATGCCTTTTTCTCTTTTATATGGCGTGAGGATCATGTTCATTGTTACGTTTGTCAGATTCAGAATAACGTTTATTTTTAGCCACTCAGAGTGGTATAAATATACCAGATGGGCGGGATATAAATCAGATAAATAAATAATTAAATATTTTTATTTTTGTTTATTTGACATATCCTCTTTTTTTCTAGGACTTTCTGCTCATGCTCATGTAGAACTTCCATATTATTCCAAGTTCCTTCTAATAGCTGCATACCTTGCTTCCTATAACCCTGCCAGGACAGATAAGAGATTCTTTGTTAAGGTATTTAATTTTCTTTTCTTTTTCACTAGAAGCTATCTGTAAGACCTACAAAGCTCACTTTGTTAACTGCCTGTTATATCTGTAAAACATTGGTCGTAGCATTCTGAAGACTTCTGGAAGGTGCCATATAAAATTTCCAACATTTAGTATAAGCCAGAGAAAGATGGCTTGCTCAAAGTACAACTCAAATCTGACTGCCTATTTCTAAATGTAGGCTCTGGCTCTTGATACATGTACATATAGAAATAAATTAGCTCACTCAGCATTTTTATTTCTTGCAATTTCCAGAGGATATAAATCTCTGGTAATTTGTGGATTATTGCAGCAGTTTTTCTTTATTAGGCTAAGGCACAGTCAGAATGTTGACCCTGAAAAACCAGGGGCTCCAAAAGCATAACGTGCTTATATAGAGAGAGGGCACTGTTCTCCTTAGACTCCATAGATGTAGAGAGTGGTGACAGAAGGGGCAGTGGTAGCCTGTTCCTCTCCTGTGATGTCCTGGATAAAATTTAGGCCAAAATGGTGTTTCCCACCTAAGTACTGTGGGCATCTCCCCCCACCCCCTTTTTTGTAGGGTACATTGGGCTCTCCAGAGTGTGCAATAATAAAAGTTTTTATTGACCTGTATAATTTTTTGTAAACCTTGCATGGTTTACTGTAATTCTGCCTTAGCTTTCCTACTTGTGTGACCCTAGTTCAGCGATGGCAAACCTATGGCACGTGTGCCACAGCTGGCACACAGAGCCCTCTCTGTGGCCATGTGAGCCATAAGTCACCATCGAGAAATACTTACCCATCCTCCGATCCTGGATTTTGCCACTCCCCTCTGCTGGTGCAGTGGTCCAGCAGAGGGATACAATGGCAACCATTACCGGTCTAGCCCAATGGGAGTTTGGAGGCGCAGTAAGTATTTCTTTGTTAATACTGCCCATAGGAAAAAAAACACACACACAAGCATTTAACCTTTGCGGTACAGGAGCAGTTGTTTTTTCTAACCTAAAGCCCTAGTATTCGGGTTTTAATTGCAGTGTTGGCACTTTGAAATAAATAAGTTGATTTTGTGTTGCAGTTTGGGCACTCAGGCTCAAAAAGGTTCACCAGCACTGCCCTAGTTTGTCTTCCTGTGCTTTTCTTCCTTGATATATTTGTGCTGCTTTCTCTTATGAGTCTCTAAATGAATTAATAATGGTCTTCCTGTCTCTCTGGTGGATTGCTTTGTTTCAATTCCTGCTTTGACATTTGTACATGGCAAGCCATAGGACATGTTATTTTCAGATGTCATGCTGTCACTGCCAGTATTTTTGTATTGCAATATATGTTTATTGCAGAAAAATTGTTTGTTTATATATATTTATAGAAATACTCCATGAAAGGGAGAGAGAAAGACACAGAGAGAAAGGAAGTGAGCAGGGTTTTTTTACCCCATCTTTTCCAGTGATGACATTGGCTGTAAGAAAAGTTAAGGAAAAACAGTTAGAGAAATTCATAACAAGAAAAAGTAAGAGGTGTATTTAAGAGATATCAGTTAAACTCATATGTTTTCAAAAAGCAAAATAAAGTATGAATTTAATAGGAAAATATCAGAGAAGGTTCGTGTTGAGTAGACTGGACAGTGCACCTCCATATATTGTCACACTACAGCTACCATCAGCCTTAAATAACATAGTAAATCGTAATGCTGAGAATTGCAGTCCAGAGCCGTCTAGTGGATTTCACTTTGTTCATTCTGGATTTGGAGGCACAGTGCATTCGTTGCTTATTGCCAGTTGGGCGGAGGGCTGATTTCTAGTTTTGGGTGGCAGCCGTAGGTTTGTACCCTTTGATTACACAGACACGTGCATGCTGTCTCCCCCCCACGTGCATGCACACACACACAAGAGGGAGAGAATGAGCTTTTTCTACCTTGTTCAAACATATTTAGTGGTTAAATGCTATTTACAGTCTTTCTTTTTATGTGAAATTCTGGGTTTTTACATGAAATGGCTTTATTGATTAAGGAGGCTTGCACTTATACTGGTGCCTCAACTTCCGAACATCCTGATATACGACCATTATGAGTTATGACCAGCTCCTGCCGCAAAATTTTGCTTTGACTTGCGGCTGGAGCTTCCAGTTATGAACACAAAAAGGCAGGGGGAAAGGCGGATAATTCAAATTGCTAACTGTAGGTGGCAAAGAGACTGCTTCTTTGTAGCTCTTTCGACCCAGCAGTTAAGAGAGTGTGCGATCGCAGGAGGCTTCCTGGTAAGGTAAGGTGCTGCTTTCTGCTTTTTAAAAACTGTTCTGGGTGGGTTTTGCAGTGTGGTTTTGGGCTGGGGGGTTATGTTTCTGTGCTGTAATGGGTCTTGGGGGTTTGTTTGTTTTTTGGTTCCCCTCCATTTCCGATGGGTCTTAGGGGGTTTGGTTGCTTTTTGGAGTGTTTTTCCCCATTTCCGATGGGTCTTGCATGCTTCCCTTGCTTCTTGTTATGTTTTCTTTGCATTTCCAATGTGCTCCCTTTGTTTTCTTCGCATTTCCAATGTGCTCCGTTTGCTTTTTCCTTTGTTTTCTTTGCATTTCCTATTGGGTCTTGCATGCTTGGTTGCTTTTCTCCCCCCCCCCCTTTTCGGCCAGAAGGGATTAATCACGTTTCCATGGGTCTTGCAGGGATTATTATTATTATTATTTTGTTTTTGTTTTTCTTCAACCGGAATGGATTAACTGCATTTCAGTGCATTCCTCAGGGAAATAGTGCTTCAACTTGACCATTTTGAGTTACGTCCATCTTCTAGAATGGATTATGGTCATAAGTCAAGGCACCACTGTACTTTACTGGCTTCCTTCTGTGTTAACTGGCAGTGGCAAAAGGAGATGTACACAGTCTGACTGAACACTTCCTGAATCAGTTAAGTCGATTCATGCTACCCCCATCCAAATTTACATTAAAGGAAACACTGTAAACAATAGCAGAGGTAATGATGAACAATAACTAGATAAGTTTAAACAAGGTGAAATAAGTTAAAAATAGCTGTAGGTAAGGTGGGGAAGCAGCTGGTAGCCTTGTTGTTTTTCAGCAACAGATTGCATTTGGAAGTTGTTTCAAAGCAGTATTTTGGCGCAGGGTCTTGGGAACCACGAAATTTGGTTTGGGACAGCTGAATGATTCCCACCCCTGGCTTTGCACAGCAAAGTCAACATATCAGGATTGTGGTGGCTGAAAGGAATGTGGAATATTCGGGTGAAAATAAGGAAGAACTAAATACAGGAAGCGAACCTGCTCTTTAGCAATGAAAGAAAGAAGTATGATTTAAGGCTACATAATTGGTTGAATTGAATGATATGAAGTGTTTTTTATTTTATTTTATAAATATAGTAGACTTGGATATAAAATATGTATGAGTAGATAATATACAATTGTTTTTATGTAATTCAGTTTATCTTTTTAAATAAGTTTCAGTCTTCATAATAAAAATTGATAGGTTTAAGACAAACCTGAGGGAATTGTTGAATACAATTCTGCAAGTATTGACAGGATCAGAGCTATGAAAATATGTATAGCTAGAATTAATACAGCTGAGTTGATTGTGACAGCTGAGAGAAGAATCTCTGGATTGGACAATCCTGAGATAAAGCTAGCAGAGCTAGCACACACACTCTGTTGGTGGTGTGGGATGGTTGATGTTGTGTCGGATTGCTGTTGTCAAAGTGCTGTGTTGGAGAGATCCTGGGAGAAGCCTGTCTCCGTGCTACATATTGGGAGAAGAACTTTGGCTTCAGGACTGCTCATCTGGTAAATGAACTCTGGACTAATTTACAAGGACTTTGACTGTGATTTGCGTATTGAATCCTGTTGAACTGCTGTGCTTGACCTTGGATTGGAAAACTAAGACTAAAGCTGTATATGTGTGTATAACTCCTGTAAATAATACAAGTAATTCTTCTATCAACACTACAAGTTGTTTGGCATCTTCATCTCAGGGAAGTTTTTCTACTGCTAGTGCCACCTGGTGTATCTTGGTAATACCACACCTCTGTCAAAAATACTGTTCAGTAAAAGGACAGTTAGATTTAGAATAGATAATTGTTTATCGAAATCTGAAGATACTCTCCACTTGGGTGGTGGGGTGCTATTAGCAGTTGCTTGGCAACACACCAGGGTAATTTCTCCTCTTTGCTTGCCACCCTTCTAGCCTTCAATTGCTATTTTGAACAGGGCCCAAATTTGGCCAAAGTCATTTTGGGCTCTGCAGCTAAAACCGTTTTTCTTTACCTGGAGTTGATAAGGAAGTGAGGAAAAGCAGGCAGCATTTTAAGGCAAAGCAGTAGGTGATTCATCTTGTCACTTTGTGGAAAGGATGTTGGCCCCCCTCCTATCTTTTAGTAGTTGTTCTGACAGGAGGAGGAAAGAGAGTGCTGCATGCTTTGAATACTACAAGTGATTTTTTTTTCTGGACTGTTTGTAGATAATTATTTTCATAGGGTTACATTAAGTTACATTCTGATTTATATCATTTTTGTGCTATTTGCCCTTCTAGAAATGCCAGTTGTAAATATGGTATATCTCCAATGATGTGAACTGTCAATCATGCTTGGATTCCGTGCCACATTTCAGCCTTGTTGTTTTTCAGACAGACTGTGAAGAATAAATGAGGTATCCCCAAGCAAGTAGATATGCTAGGGTGCAGTTTTGTACCATTCTCCCAGTTGTAAGATGTTCAGTAGTGTTGTCTTCCTCTAAAATGATTTACTATTCTGAATTTGTTATCTCACAGTTGAATGTTAATCTTTATTTGCAGCATCATGGAAAAATTAGAAAGATGAACTTCCAGAAGAAACATGAAAAGGTACTGAACTTTTTTTACTGACTTAGTTCACGTGTGTAGCTACATGTGTATGCAAGTGTGTAACTTAAAAACACTGTTTTTAAAACAAGATTTGGAAACATGTTTTACATCCTGAAATCATCCTTTAGTCCCGACTACAGTGCCAGAAAAAATATTAATCATTGCAGGGTGCAAAAAGAGAAATTGGCATGATTACATGTGACAATCAAATGCTTTCCACTCCTATTTTCTAAAATACAGTGGTGTCTCACTTTACGATTGCCCTGTTTAACGACGAAACCGCATTACGATGAACGTTTTGCGATCAGAAAATGATGTTTCCTGTGGGGGAATTTCGCTTTGCGATGATCAGTTCCCTGCTTTGGGAACTGATTCTTCGCAAAACAATGATTTTCCAACAGCTGATCGGTGGTTTCAAAATGGCCGCCAGGTAAACAAAATGGCTCCCTGCTGTTTTCTGGGACGGATTCCTCGCTGTACAGGCAGTGAAAATGGCCGCCCTATGGAGGATCTTCGCTGGACGTTGAGTTTACAGCCCTTTGGAACCCATTAAACGGGTTTTAATGTGTTTCAATGGGTTTTTTCTTTTCGCATTACGATGTTTTCTTTCTACACCAATTTCGCTGGACCGAATTAACGTCGGAATGCGAGGCACCACTGTAATTAAGTTTTAGCACAGTGACTTGTACTAATACACATACTGACTTTCCTTTGCTTCCTTCTTTATCTTTTTATGAAGACATTTGTACACATATCTGAAAATTGCTTAGTCTGTGAATATAACCACATATCTTCAGGCAAGCACACAGCTGGCCACTTAAATTATAAGTGTAGAGAGGCACCATGAATTACAGTACAACTGTCATTACTTGGTCATCTCGCTCTGGGCTATAAAATTCTCTGTGTGTTCCCTGAGCCTTCTTCTTTGTAATGCCAAAACATGGTTTAGCATTATTTCCATGAACATCAGGTTCATAAGGTTCCTGCTTCTGGCACATCTTTTAAGAGATTATGGGCAGAATCCTGTTACTGACGGACACTGGCCTAAGTCAGTTGGCATAACGCACAATGATATTTATGCTAGTCAAGCAGTCAGTAGCATTCATCCTCCAGTCATGAGGTGTACAAGCTTGGACCACTTAACTAATCACAGTTTGCTTTTGGGATCTCTGCCAATTAAGCTCCTGGAAATCCATGTGAGAGGAAATAAGATTGGGAAGGGAGCCACTGATAGGGCAGATGCTTGGCATGCTGATGTTGTTAGGATCAACCCTTGGCATCATATGATTGCACTGATTGTCCACAACCATGGAGTTGTCACTGCAAGGTAATCTGAGATGCAGTAGTGGTGTGGCTCAGTACAATATATTTCTAGAACAAAGAAATAACAACTGCCTTATTTTCTTTAAAAAAAACACCCCGAAACCCCACCCAGCATATAAGTAGAATAAAGATCCTAGAAAAGTATATGTGGCGTTTCAAAGAAGAATTGACTGCACTTCAAACAGTGATTTCACCCTGGTTTCCAAAGGCTTGGCCAGCTCGTTGGAGACTTTTGTGAATGAGTGTTGCTTTTTAAATTCACGTAAACTCTGTAATTGTTTTTAATGTTTCGGTTGAAGAATGATACAGAAGAGTAAGTACTGCTGCTGACATGTTATATCTGAGATAGTTGTCCGCTGCTTTGCGCATGTTCTCTGCCTGCTAGAACAGAAAAATTTTTTTTAAAGAAACAGCTTCACTGTGATTTTACCATAGAGGAATATGATAATTAAAATATTGTAATTTCAAGGAGGGGATGAATGATAGAAAAGTATCTGATTGCCGTCCTGCACAACGTGTGCTCAGTGATTGCATCTTATGTTGAAAGTGTAAGTACAGTGGTGCCTCGCATAACAAGCGCACCATTTAACGACGAATCTGCATAGCGATCTATTTTTTTAGATCGCTAATGCAATCGCATTGCGATGTTTTACTGGGCAAAACATCGCATTGCGATGATCAGTAAGCGTTTCGCTTACTGATCTTCGCATTGTGATGTTTTTTAAACAACTGATTGGCGGTTCCAAAATGGCTGCCGGGTGCCCAAGATGGCCTCTGCGACCATTTTCGCGCGGTTTCCTCGCTTACCGAGGGCGCAAAAATGGCGGCACTATGGAGGATCTTCGCTGAACTGTGAGTTTGGGCCCCGTGGGAACGCATTATGGGTTTTTCCGTTCCGTTTAGCGATGTTTTCACATAGCGACGATTAATCCAGAACGGATTAACGTTGCTATGCGGGGCACCACTGTAGTGAACTTCTGGGAATCGTGGGGAAAAGATATTTACAAGTAAATCCTGTAGAACTATTGCTGGTTCCTTTTGTTTTTCTTCACCAGTGTCAATGACAGTTCTGAAAAATGCAGATGTTCTTGCTGTCTTTTAGGTGGTGCTTTTGAGAAGAAAAAATATGTACAGTATTTGATTTACTCCCTATTGGATTACTCTTTTTGAATGAAAAAAGTTGGTTAAAATATATATAATTGCTCTTTATTCATTAGCATTCAGTAAACTTGTGAACAACTCTGTAGGAATTTAAATGGACAGATTTGTGTTCCACTTAAAAGTGTTGGTAGGTCCTTTTTAAAATAGAACATTGAGATCCTATCTCCTATACACCTTTATGTAAGTCCTGTTGAATTTACTGGGACTGTCTGAGTCAATACTGAAAAAATATATCTTTAGTTAACAACCAGAAAAATAAACTAAGCACTCCTCCATCCTGTTTCTTACATTCCAAGAAAATTCAGTTGATGAAACTTACTTTTTTACAGACCAGCAATCACCTTCTTGGACCAAAGCCATTCCCTCTAGACAGATTGTTGGCAATATTATACAGCATTGTTGACAGCAGAGTTGCTCCAACTGCAAATATATTTTCTCAGGTGAGTTAAGTTCTTACGTGGTTTTACTATATATTTCAAACGTTTTGAATTCTGTTTACAAAATAATCACTGGCTTGTCTTATTTTTCCTTAAATTACTGCTCATAAAAAGTTTTTTTTCAAACATTTAATGAAAAATTAGATATTATTACTAATAGAATTCCCCCCTTTTGACTGCCATTCTGAGTTCTGATGTCAGTCAAACATTTGCTGATGTTGATCTGTTGACTCTGTGCTGCATTCAGTAGTTAGTGATTAGTGAGTTGTAATAACCAGGATGTAACAAGCTAAATACATGGGGCATCCCTTGAGGCTGACTTGCAGACTATAGCAAGTCCAGAATGCAGTAGCCAGACTGTTGGCTGGTTTGAGCAAGTTTGATCACATCTCCCCAGTTCTGTCTCGCCAATACTGGTTACCTGTTGTGTCCCAGGTCAGGTTCAAGGTTTTGATGCTTACATATAAAGCCTTTCACAGTTTGGGATCACGGTATTTATTGGAGCACCATTTCCCAAGGTCATCTTCCTGGTCCATCAAATCTTCCCAAATTATGCTCTTCTGGGTGACTATTCCAGAGGAGGCCAGGAAATCAACCATGAGAAGCCTAGCCTTCTTCGCGGTGGCACCAGCACTTTGGAATCAGTTCCTGGTGCAGCTGATTCTTCATTCTGCACCTAGTTCCCTTCCTCCTAATGTTTAGAAGGCTTCTGAAGACACTATTTTACAGAGAGGCCTTCCGATGCAACCCTGCTTTTCGCTAATGGGGCAGTATAAAAATCAAATAAAATCAATCAGTCAGTCAATAAAATGTGCTCAAGTGAAGATGCATGCACACATATGAGTTTTATTGTCCTGTACTGCTGTACCATAATCCCTGTTTTAAAATAGGGACAGAGAATTTTTGACCCGCCAAATGCTACTGGAGAACGTCTCCAAGCATCCCTCCAAGTGGATGTTTAGTTGTTGTTTAGTCGTGTCCGACTCTTTGTGACCCCATGGACCAGAGCACGCCAGGCCCTCCTGTCTTCCACTGCCTCCCTGAGTTGGGTCACATTCATGTTAGTAGCTTCGGTGACACTGGCCAACCATCTCATCCTCTGTTGTCCCCTTCTCCTCTTGCCTTCACACTTTGCTAACATCAGGGGCTTTTCCAGGGAGTCTTCTCTTCTCATGAGATGGCCAAAGTCTTGGAGCCTCAGCTTCAGGATCTGTCCTTCCAGTGAGCACTCAGGGTTGATTTCCCATCCATGAGCACTCAGGGATGTTTAGAAGCCTGGGCTAGTTTCAGTTGCCAGTTCCAACTAGAAGAGACCCACTAAATGTAAGCAGCATTTACTAAGTTCCATTCTTTCATTGTATCTTCACTGGTTCGGACTAAAAATTGGCTTTAGGTTTGTTTGGTTGGTTTTGTAAGTTTTGAAATGTTTATTATTATTATATGAATTTTCACTAGGTGGCAGTGCAGCCTCATGAACAAAGGCAGAATTGGAGGCAACAATTCCACATACAACTTTGAGTTTCTCATAACTTGTACCTTTGATATTAAAGAAAAGTAGCATTCTAAACATATACAGCACTATTTCTTTTGCTGTATATTACCTGAAAATGAGTAACAGATGGTAAACATAGTATTTTTAATAGAATATTGAAGAATTGAATTTGTGAAATGTTACCTCCTTTCTAGACGTCTTTGGTGTAACAAGTATCTGACTCCCTTTAGGGTAGGTTAACACTTTCCCCACCCCCACGTCTGTCTGTTTCACTGAATTTTGCTAGAGCAGTTTCACCCTATAGGAATACAGCTTTTTCCTTGCTATTTTCTTTTTTCTAAAAAAAAAAACTTCCAAAGTAAAGAAGATCCTATTCTATCAGTGTTTTGGTTATCCCAATTCTTTTTGCATTCTTTTGCATTTCATGCTAATACAGACTTAGGGAGATGCAAAATCTTACTATTTTCCAGATTTCAATTACTCAGGGACTTTTGTAATCAAAATTATTCAACCTCCATTGCAAATCAAGTTTATTGACAAAATTTGGAGACTTTCTGCTGTTTGTAATGAACAGATCAAACAAAGCAATTGCAATAGCTGAACATAATGAATGCTTCAAACTTACTAAAGGGCTGTTTGGTGAAGAGTCAATGTGATTTAAATCCTGAAGACTAAATGTGGGAAAATGCATACAAATGCAAAACTTATGCATACAGTCTCTTTCTCTCTCTCTCTCTCATTAAAAAGAATTATTTGTGGGAGAGAATATAATCTTACTATATAGGGATGGGTGGAGCTTGTGCATGTGGGTAAGCTCATCCACCACTGTACACAGCCCTCAGGAGCAATATGTTATCCCTCCCTGCTGTAGAATAAGGATGTAAATGAGATTTCCCCAAGCAGCCTGGCCAAAGAAGGTGTATTGGGGACTCAGAAGATTGTTGTGTAGTTTGCTTAATTCTAATAAAAAGCTTAATGTTCTTAGATTTTTTTCTGATAGAAGCACCAAGCTATCTAAAGTGATTCAACTTAATTATTTGATTCAGAATGCACACTAGATGGCAGTTTTGTCAAACAGTTCCTTGCATAAGTTGTACTTTAGTTAGATTCTTTAACAATCTGAAAGACATTAGAATGTTTCTTCATTATAGATACTTCTGTAAATATGTTTAAAAGGAAAACATTCCATTAAGAGGTAAAGGATAAGGTGATAAAGTCTGTGTTCAAAGCAGTGTTCATATAGAGAAACCACATAAGTAAACATCACTGTGCAAACAAAGCTGCCTCGCAGTTAATTCCCGGTGGTACAATCCCATAGCCCTCAGTGTGTATTCTCCAAATGTCTGGATGGAGGCCAGAACATGAGGTTCTCCAGCCAATTGCGATCCCCCTGGGGTAGAAGATAGAGAATGGTTTGGCATGGAAGACTTCGACAATTAACCATGTCCATGGGGCTGTGAGGTGTGTGTGTACATACTACGAATCATCATGTTTGCTTATGTATTAATATGCTAACAGTGCAGCCATGTTTGAATGGCAGGCATGAAGGAGCTGCCATGTGACTGTACAAAAAGTAACTAAGATTCATGACGGATGATTATAAGTGAGGAGTAAGTCATATCAATGTTTCACTTTCAGTCTAGCCAGTTTTGTAAAGCCAACTGTGTGTAGCCATCTTTCAGTGTCGAGAGACCATGGTAATGTGCTCTGAATACTGTAGAAGACTTGGAACAGCATCTATTGTGGCTGAGAAGGACAATTTGAGAGTGACAATCCCTTCCACACTGAAGACAAGTACAATATGTCCCCTGTCCAGCTCCCTGATTTTGCTGGTTTCGGGACTGCCTCTTTGCCTTGGCCCTCTGAACAAGTGTCTCTTCAAATTGGGAGAGTCCATGTTGCACCGCCCGCCTCCAGGCTCAATGCTCAGATGTCAACGTTTCCAATCTGTTGAGATCCATTCCTAATGCCTTCAGGTCCTGCTTGCAAATATCCTTGTATCGCAGCTATGGTCTCCCTCTGGGGCGTTTTCCCTGCACCAATTCTCCATACAGGAGATCTTTTGGAATCCGACCGTCAGCCATTCTCACAACATGCCCAAGCCAATGTAGACGTCACTGTTTCAGTAATGTATGCATGCTAAAAATTCCAGCTTGTTCTAGGACCACTCTATTTGGAACTCTGTCCTGCCAGGTGATACCAAAAATGTGTTGGAGACAATGCATATGGAACATGTTCAACTTCCTCTCCTGCCATGCCCAAAGCATCCAGGACTCACTGCAGCACAGGACTGTACTCAGGACACAAACTCTATAGACCTGGATATTGGTATATGGTGTCAGCTTCTTACTAAGCCATACTCTCTTTGTGAGTCTAGAGAACATGGTAGCTACTTTGCCAATGTGTTTATCCAGCTCGACATCTAGGGAGAGCGTGTCAGAGATCATTGAGCCAAGGTACACAAAGTCATGAACAACCTCCAATTCTTGTGTAGAGATGGTAATAAAAGGAGGTGAGTCCACACCCTGGCCCATGACTTGTGTTTTCAGGGTGATTGTTAATCCAAAATCTTGGCAGGCTTTACTAAAACGATTCATAAGTTGTTGGGGGTCTTCAGCAGAATGGGCAACAACAGCTGCATCATTGGCGAAGAGGAACTCCCACATGCATTTCAGCTGGACTTTGGTCTTTGATCTCAATCTAGAGAGCTTTCTATCCGATCTCATCTGGAGATAGACACCTTCTGTTGTAGTTCCAAAAGTGTGCTTCAGCATGACAGCAAAAAAGACCCCAAACAGGGTTGGCATGAGGACACAGTCCTGTTTCACTCTGCTTCGGATGTCAAAGGGATCTGATGTTGAGGCATCAAAAACTACAGTGCCCTCCATTTCCTCATGAAAGGACCTGATGATGTTAAGGAGTCAAGGTGGACATCCAATCTTGGGAAGTATTTTAAAAAGTCTGTCCCTGCTAACTAAATCAAAGGCCTTTGTAAGATCTATGAAGGCCACAAAGAGTGGTTGGTGTTCCCTACATTTCTCCTGCAATTGTCTGAGGGAAAATACCATGCTTGAAATCCACACTGTGATTCTGGATAGGCTCTGTCTGCAAGCACCTGGAGCCTCTTCAGCACAACATGGCCAAGCAGCTTCCCTACAGTGCTGAGAAGAGAGATGCCGGTAGTTATTGCAGTCGCCTCTGTCTCCTTTGTTCTTATGCAATGTGATGATGTTTGTCCTTCATGTTCTGTGGTACTCCACCTTTCCTCCAGCAAAGACAAAAGATTTCATACAGCTCCATGGTGATGATCTCTTTACAGCACTTCAGCACTTCAAAGCCAACTAACTGGTCTCCAATTAGAAAATAAATAAAATAAGAAGGAGGCAGCAGAATGGCCAATATAATGAAGTATTATTCTCTTTCTCTCTCGCACACCCCACACCCTTTTTGTTAAAAACACTAGTTAAAAAGAACTGAGGTGCTGATGAGGAGAGATTAGGAAGTAGGGTGG